GTTCCATCCTTCCTCGTTGAAAATATCCAGACCTCCGAAGTGAGCTTTGTAGAACTGCTTGGCTTGTTCAATCATCGCCTTTGAAACCACCGGGCCAACAAGCCAGCGTTTCAATATGTACTAAAATCCACTTTAAGAAAGCAAAACATATTTAACTCGGAGCATTAACATGCTTTTTTCTTCTTTTAGAAAAAGGCGAGAATCAGGCGCAGTGAGCTCCACAGCAGCAGCAGCAGTAGCTTCCAAGAGAGGACAGTCGATGCCTTCCCAATCAGACAGTCTCCGGGGAGCTGCATCACTAAACCAGCAAGTAGCGCATCTTAACAACCAGCTTGCTTCACAGCAGCCGGTCGGCGTTTCTGCTCAAATCACCAGCCTGCGCGCTGCACTCCGAGCACAGCATGTGCAGCGGGCAGTTCTCCCGGAGATGCACAGATGTGCAAGCAAAAAGTGAATACCTGGAGGCCGAAAAAACAAATTTCCGGGAATTTTCCGCCACGGCTCTCGAAGTAGCTGTACACATGGGTGGTGCCTTCTGGATACTGGTTGTGATGCGTCACCTGAACACAACTTAAGCGATGAATCACTCGAATGCGACAAACCATAGCTGGGAAGCGCAACCGACACAGGTCACCGGGCCAGCGGAGGCGCGCCACAGCGGCGCCCCTTGCCGGCGCCTGGGCCCGAGACAGACCAGGGCGCGAACGGAAGAAGAGCGATACCTTGTACGAGTCGGCCAGATAGAGCACGTTGTCCACTGGATACAATTCCATCTTCATCGAGCCATGCAAACAGCGCTTAAAATAACCACGAGGAATTAAAGCGCCGAACAGCGAAGAGGCCCATCATCGGCCCCGCCCCCTTGCAGTGCAGTGCGCGCATACGCCGCTCATCCTGGGATCGCCCCGATATCGCGGCCATCGTTAAATCTTGGCCGAATCAACCCCCCCAAAACGGAGCAGCAGCACGTGGCTGGTCGAGTCTTGATGGGTGCCAGCAGTGCGCAGTGGGTTGGACGTGGGCCGCGGTCACTCGTTCAGTTGCCTCGCTCAGTTCACGGCCTCGTCAGAGAACTGAGAACACCGAAATCCCAGGAGAACTGCAGCAGCGGCCGGCCGAGGCCATCCTCGGCCAATTACTAGAGGGCCATGGCACCAGTCATCTCGGCGCAACGCGCTCATAAATTTCCCCTTTACGGAAAATTGCCGCCTGCGAGCCTCTGTGCAAGGAACGGCCCGACTCCTCAGGCCCAGGTACCACCAGGCCGGCCGTCCTTATCGACTGGGAGCAGTAGCCGCAGTCATCGGAGCCCCACAAATACAGGCCAGTTCGCTTCGGTGCGTGGCCGAGACCTTTTTTTTTGGCACACCACACGTTGCAGCCGAAACCGCGTGCGCTGAAAAGGATGGGGCTCGGTGGGGGATGGGAATGTGAGAGACAAGCACCTCAACAACTACGGATATCGCAGCGAAGCGAAGGCGCGCTGATCCCACCGGTTGGATGCGACAGGCATCTGCATGCCTGCAAGAACACAGGAAATCTCCGAGCGGTTTCACTCCAGCTAATACGCTCGATGCTTTACGACATCTGAGATTGCTGCTTGCACACCTTGAGTTCGGCAGCGCGCGTCTGTAGCTGAACAAAGCTGGCCGAACGAGCGAATCAGTGAGACGATACAGTTAGCAGTGTGCTACGCACAGTTAGCAGCTTACGAATTTTGCCATTCTGACAATAAACAGTGCATTTATTATTATTAACGGTAATGATAAGGTGAGAATGAAAAGTAACACGACCGAACAACTCAAACAGCGCGGACAAGCAGCACACGCTTACAACTCTCAGCTGAGACCTCTCAGTTCACTGGGATCAAAAGGCAACATCGGAATGTCTTGCACGATCACTGGAAAAAGAAATCAGACTTCTTGTATGGTACCATTTTTGGACCGGACAGCAGGTTTCGTGCAGCTTCTATATCATTGCCAATAGCTGCTTTTAGCTCATCTGAAATTCCGTTAAGTGTTCAGTGAGCGCCTGTCGGAAAAAATTGGTGTAGTGGCGAAGAGGAACGAAGAAATGCACCCACCCAAAGAATTGAAGGAAGACATCGGTCGCAAAAATCCAAGAGCAATTGCACGGAGCTCTGCACCATAAAAGTCCTGTTCAAAATCATGTAATAAATGGACTTCCTGAAAAGCCGCTAATGAAGCATTTTTGGACAGAAAAAAACACGAGTATATGCAAAAATGCATTTCCGCGAGCGGCTGCCCAGTGCGCATAAACGGCAGCTATACAGGCCCATCCGACTGCTGTAAAACCGAGAACATCGCTCGTCCCCAAGCTCGACTATTCTGTCGCGGTTCAAGGCATCGGGGAGTTTGAAGGCTGGATTGGGCTCTCCAACAAACAGTGCCGACCCTTGAAAGGTCGAGCTCGTAGCTTTAACCTTTGATGGGTTACTGCACCTAATATCAAAGCACAGGACGGAATGGGTCCAAAAGTGCTCTCATGTTTGCACTTGTGCGTCTATTTACGACCTCGTAACTAACCCCAGCCCCCTTAGCTTCCTCACCCCCGAGCTGCGAAGTTACTATTCACACCGACATGACTGCCATAATGCAAAAACGCATTGAAATGAGTCTTGTACACTTCTGAATTTATACAGTAGTCTATGCTAAATCAGTTTCAAAATCATGAAAAATACGCGAACTGACAATTGTCTTTCGCTCATTTTTGAAGTGAAGATTCCACCCGATGCTTGTCACCATACCGTATACCTCACCGCAGTTAATATTCGCAAAACCGTAAAATACACCAGTTGGAAAATCCGAAGGTAAACGTGAAATGGCACTGTCGTCTAAGTTTGCTGCAAATATGATGCCTGAGGAGGGGGACAAGTACAAATAAAATGAGCAAAAAAGGAATGAAAAGCATCAAAAAGATATCCTCTCAGAAATTCATTAAAAAACATTCACTATGATAACGAGCAAATTAGCATTTTGGTACACAAAACTTAGGTTTGAAAATCCAAAATGAATGAAAATGGAAAGAAGCCACACCGGTGGGACAGCCGAGTTGCCGTCCGCCACGACCAAATCCATTAACAACTGTTCCATGGAAGTAGAATGGATAAAGCGCTGAAAAAGATTCATCGAAAGAATTCAAAGATCAGCTGCTTTCAAGAACAATCGAACAAATGAACATAATTAGCGCATGACTGCGCCCATCACGAAGAACCCATAACCGTTCAAAGAAACTGTTAAATAAGACAAGTGTAAACGATGGGCCTGAAATCCAAAAAGGTAGAACCAAACGGATGAAAACGTTTACTAGCCCAGTGCGACACGAGACCAAATCCGCTGACTTCATGGACAGCATCAACTACTTGCGATAAACAGTAGCTGGTGAAAGTATCAAGCAGGAAATACAGCAGGATTTATCTCTTTACTTTCAAAACGGTAGGGTATGTGCAGCTTCAGCAAACTACCACAATACGTCTTCTCCAACATCCGGTGCGAAAATAAAGCTTTTCCACGCCACTCAACTACCAGTCTGGCTGAACGGAAGCGAAACAAAATGCAACGCCGTGCTTGCTGGCAAGATAAAACGATGATCTATCCAGATGCACAGCGATATGCGGTGAATATCAACAAATTACTGTATACTTTTAAAAAAGTGTTGCCGTTCCGCTCCCGCGTTAGTGATATTATCAAAGTAGGATGGCAAGGTGAACGTGCAGTGTGGCGTGAGAGTGAAGCAGTGGTACCCAAGCGATATTAACGAGTGGCTGGGAAGATCACCAGTCACTGAATACTGAGAAGATCACCAGTCCATATGAATTTACTCATATGCGACAAGCTCTAAACAGACAGCAATGAGGAAGTTGGCAGTTGCATTGATGTCGAGAAAAAAACGAATTGAAAGAATGGCACAGCAGAGTAAATTACAAAAAAATAAACTGGGGCAAAACTATTTGCCGGCATAAGACGCTCACTCTACGTGTCTCCCTCCCGGTTCAAAACCAGTGCTCACGTGTGCCTAGATCTTATCTGCGAACGCCCGAAAACTCGCGAATTTTTAGGCGGAGTACGGCTTCGGGAATCGACAGACCTGGGAAGCTCTTTGGCTGTCACACACACTGGCGTCACGCGTACGTGCGGTCATGTCAATTCCCAGCTGGCACTGTGCCAGGCTGGAAAACGACAGCTGTGAATTTACCAAGCTACTTGTCGTCCATCTGGGAACTCGTACCAAGATGGGTTCTCGAATTGTACTTGCATCACACCTTAGGGCACGCCAAACATATGTGTAGCAAAGTGGCGATTTCGAGTACCAGACAAAGTGCGGAGCTGGAATTTTGTAATATTCTATGTTCATATGTAAACTAAGTTCAGCTTGAAGACCAAATTCATTGCTTGCGAACGTGACACATACTCAACATTACCTCAACCTCAAGAGGAGTATATTTTGTTTGGATTTCATCATCCTTCTCTCTCTCGAATCCTCTTCATTGTCCAATTTGCATTCTCAGTGAACGACCGGTCACCGGAAATAATTCACTTCCCTTCATGCAAAACTTGCAGCAATAATGCATGCTGAAGGCCAGGGTTTCACGCGATCACACAATGCAACACTATCGCACGCGCCGACGCCTCTTCTCTTCCTACACTAAAGGAAATGCAAAAATACTGCCCAACGCGGGTTCAAATGCTAAAGTGTAAAGCAACACACTGTTAACGACCTAACTGTTTCAGAATTCGCGCAAAGAACGCACGACTCACTAGTAAGCCTTATGCGCTGGCATCTGGATTCCAACTCGCCCTCACGTTTCGCGTAGACCCTTTAAGTACTGAATGAAATGTTAAAACAAATTAACAACGAGCAGAAACCTCAGAACTTTTTAGTAGCTGAGATAACGTAGCTAAGCCAGTGCGTTAAAAGAAAGAACAAACCGGTGCTACTGCAGCCATCAATGACACCATTGATCCTAGTGTTACTCATACGCCTCTTTGAAACCTCAGTGCAGCCAGAATTATTTTCAATCATTCCTGTCACCACTCGCCTTCGTGCATTAGCTAATATGTCCGAAAAATGACGAATAAACAGTAACTCACATCGCCCGTATGATAAAATGATGAACCTGAAAATCCGTTACAACGAGA